ATTACGACACCCCCACTCACAACCACAAGGCACCGCGAGGTGTGTGTTTCTCTGTTATATAACTTGTTGCCTACGCACTGGGATGGGGATAGGTCCGCGCACGTTACATAACTATCCCCATCCCGAATCCTTTTCACCATCGCCCCGTTTTTCACTCACTTGTTTCTCGTCCGTCCGTTTCGTGACGTAAGACCCGGAGTCCGGAGTCCTTTCCTCAACTTCTCCGGGCGAGGGGAAAAGGAAGGGGGGGGGGGGGCATAGCGGGCGCAGCGCGCGCTTGTTCGCTCGCTCCTCAGCTCAGACCCGCTCGCTCCGCTCCCCTCTTCTTTCTCCTTCCCAAACCCGAAATGTCTAAAAAATGCACACTCAGAGAAAAGATTACATTGGCAGAAAAAAAAATTGCTATACATGGATAACTAACTTTTGGAACTTACACAGCTAAAAGTTAGCGAGGTAGTTCCACCGTTTTGCTCTAGAGCTATTGTGTGAGAAGTACAGCTAACTTTTTGTTGTACAGACCCGAAAATTAGCTGTCCATTTGCATCAATATTTTTTAGCTGTAAATATTTTTTTTTCTTCCCCCACCCGGCGACTGCATCACAACACCTCACGCTCTCCGCGTTAAAGAATGAAGTCGAGTGGCGGCAGGTGTGGCCGGGGAGAGGGAGGGCTGCATCATAGCCTTGGCATTCACTCAGTGTTGCGGGAGTGAGGATGATATTGTTCCCCCAGGTGTGAAGCTCACCTGTCGCGGGGCGGGGCGGGGCGGGGCGGGGCCAGTCCTCGGCGAGATCTAATCGCGCGCCTGCGTGCCGCGGCCGCACAGCGACGCCTTTGCTCCGCCTTGCTCTTGCCTTGCTCTTTGTCGCGTTAATGTGTATGGGATGGGTGGCGGTGGTGGCTGGTCGCCAGGACCATGTGTAATAATGAGAGAATCTCTACGATTATTCTCAACCTGCCAGAAAAAATACAAAACGCGTAAAAATTTTCGGTTTTGGTTTTTGGTGCATTAGAAAACGTACCGGGTGATTCAGAGAAGACGCAGGAGCGGGCGGGTTTGCCTACCCAAGGGGCTATGGCGCATTACGGGCAGAGCGGGTAGACTAACCCGCGCGCTCCTATGCGTCTTCCGCGAATCACCCGGTACTATTTGCATTGTACGACGCGGGTGTGCCATGTCTGTCGGCCCCGTGGAGGATGGGCGGTGACCGTCTACTTAGTCTTCCTCGGCCTCCCTCCCCCTTCCCTAACATTTATGGCTCACATTTCTCTCTGTCCGACCGGTTGCGCTTATTGCGTTGGTGCGCACGGGAGGGGAAGGGGGGGTGGTGCACGGACTTGTTGGTCGCGGAGAAACAAGGGCTGTCGGCTGTCGGCCGAGTAACTCACCCTTTATTATATGTTTCTTTCCAAAGAGGCAAACTGCAAGTCTAGTGAGTGCGGTCTAGTGTAATGTGCGCCCTCATCTTGTTGCCCCAGTATTCGACGTCTGGGTCGGATGTCTCCTCGTCCTCCTCCTCCTGAGTCATTGCTGGGGTGTTTTTGAGGCTGGGGGAGGCGTGACTCAGGACAGGAGGACACAGCACGGTGATGGGGAGTGGTGGTGGTGGGAGGGGAGGGGTGCATGCATAAATCTGGCCGTGGATCACCGCCCGAGCGCGCTGCTGTCCCCGTCCCGCCCACACCGCGCTCTGTGTCTCACTAATTCAGCACGCGCCGAAAGTGCCTTGCT